AAACCTCGCTTGGGGCTGTGCTCTGCCCGCTCGCCCTCCCCATGCCAACGGGCCAGCGTGTGCGTTGGCATGGGTGCCATGGCTTTGGGCATGAATGTCCCCATGGGCCGCTGGTGCTGGGTACCTGTCCCCTGGCTGGCATGCCAGTGCCAGCTGGAGAACAGGAGATGGGGCTGCAGCCCTGCCGGAGAACCTGACCTCTCACGGGCTTTGCTGCTTCTCTTTTTCTCTCTGCGAGGAAGGATGCTCTGGCGGGGTGGGACAAGAAGGGGAACGGAAAGGCTGGAAACTGGTCAGATTTGGAGTCTGAGGTGAAAGAGCTGCTGAACCTCCCTTAAACCTCAGGAGCTTTGCATCACTGCGCTTACGGTAGTTTTATGCTGATGTAACTCAACCCAGGGCAGGAGTCTGTGCGGAAGAGCAGAGTATTGAGCCCATGTACTAATTTGCAAGGATGAACCACAGTCAGTAAGTTGGAGGCAGGACTTCAGATTCATTTGTCAAGGAGATGACAGAAGAGTAGCCTGTCAGTGAATTAAGGAAAAAAAAAATCCACGCTGTAATATAGTGATATAAAAGCTGGAATTGATTATATTTGCATTCTGACAATTCATGTGAGAGGACTCTGCCAAGCTTGTCAAAGACTCTAAATAATGACTTTTTAACTCCTGTGCTCAACAAATCATTTATCTGTTTCCAACAAGTATTTTTAAGGTCTCACGTGCTGACTACAGCTATTCTGAAACCTAGCAGAACGATTGTCTCCTGCAAGTTTCATGGATGCAATGGGGGAATCGCTGCCCATTTGTTGCTTTCAGTGAGCCGGTTATTTCCAACAGGGCACTTAGGTTGCAGACCACATTTGACGAGACAGTTTACCCAAGCAGGTATGTACTTGGCATCTTTACACCCCATGCCTTGGGTTGGGCACGCTGGTGAAACCCAGGCATGGCCATAAAGATATCTTGCTTCTCCGGGACATCCAAGAGCTCAGGTTGAACCAGATACTGGCTATGAAGTACTTGTACTAGAATGAATCTCAAACTATTGTTTTCGGTAGCCCATGAGTGGTTTGCATCGCCAAAGTTGTCTTTGAGAGACTTGTCCATGTGCACTGTTTCTGCTGGCTACAACGGTTTTGAAGCAGTAAAATAATAGACACGACTGACTTTTCAAACCAGCTCGGGTATTTGGATGGAGGACGCATCCAGCTTTTCTGCGCTGCCCAGCTTCATGTCCCAGAGGGTCTCCCCAGCTGCGAGCAGCCGCCTGCGTGCTTCACCCTGAGCACTGAAATGGGTTAGCCCGACGTCCTCTAACCCTGCTTGGGCTCCTGGGACCTCCTAGGGCACCGGGCTATGCAAAATAAGAAGCGGTTGTTGGATTTGCTTTTCAGCTTCTTGCAGCCTGCTCAGGGCTGGTTGCCGGCTGTCTCCCAGGCTCCATTTCCCTTCCGTCATTTTTGTGAACTTCTAATTCGATCTGAGCTGAGGGATTACAGCTTCCCTGCTGTGGCATGTAGTGTGGCTGAGATCCTGTGTGCTCACCTGAAGCTACATACTCAGCTATAAGGGAAATAACATGCTCTTGAGACTCTGCTAACAAAACTAAGGCAATTAGAAAGCAGCCTTGTTCTTTGCAGCTAACCCCACTGGGCAGGTTTCCGCTAGCAGCTCTGTTACGGGAATGGGACCGGCCACGGGAGGCAAAGCCGGCTCTTGCCATCCCGCCAAGGCGCTGCGGTGAAGCCCTGCGTGCAGGAACCTCAGGAAGGAGAGGTAAACCCTCGCACACGGCTGTCTGCCACCGCACTACTTCATCGTGCTTTTGCAGCGCGACAGCCTCCTCCCGGGTAAAGCAGCTGCCTTTGCCTTCCCCTGGGTCCCGCACAGTGCTTCACAGGGCAGGGACGAAATCGCTACGAAAACAGAAAGACTTCTCAGAAAGGAGATAATTAAGAGGAAAGCTCAATGTGTTTGGAAACCTAAATACCTCTCATTTTCTAATGGTTGTTTTCAGTATTCAGATTTATTGTCAACAGCGTACTGTAATATGTTCAAGCTCCTTTGGTATTCATTTGAAATGGCTCAGGGCGAACCCTTCCCTCTGGCTGTTGCCTGCCAGCCTCTAATGAGACCTGGGGGCAAAAATGGGTCCTCTCTTGGTGGTGACAAGTTTCTTCAGGTTTAAGGAAACTGTGAGCTTGAAGCAAGACAGTAGGATCTGTCAGCACAGGAGAGTATGAGCCTGGACTGATTTCCAAGACTTTAAGCATCCCTGCATACCTCCTGTGATGGCAATCATGTCAGAAACCGGAGCATGAAAATACAAATGTCAAGCGAAAGGATATAATTTTTCATGCCTGGCTGAAACCAAACACCCTGATCTCCCACTACAATTTTACTCCTGTACGTGGTGCAGATAACCTCAGTTAAGAGAAGGTATTCACGGCAGGAGTTGAAAGCACGATAAAAGGCTTACAGAGTATTGCCTGTAATTTGGGATCTTCTAAAAGCACAAATGTCTGGTGTTCAATTCCTTAAATATTTCGCTTGCATGTGAAGCTTATTTTGTTCAGTCTTCTTTTCCTCCCTCTTACACACACCAGGGATTGTGCTGCTTCTGCACCTTGCTGCCGTGGGGGAAGCTGGCCGGCAGTGCACCGGCCGGGAGAAGCCCGTGGCGGCGATGGGCTCGCTGCCCCTGCAGAGCCCCTGCCTCCCGGCTTCCCCGTGCTCTCCAGCTTCCCGAAGGAGCTCCGCAGCACCCAGCCCTCTGTGCTTGGCTGTGCCCAGGCGTGTCTGGCAGCACCGTCCGGTTTTGACTTTCCCTCTTCGTGGAACCCCCCCTTTCTGGAAGGATTACCCGGATCCAGACGGAGGTGTGTGTCTGGCAAATCTTCTCCTGCACGCTGGGGCTTCAGGAGCCCCATCCCGCAGGGTCATGCAACAAATACAACATGTCGCCTGCGCAGACTTTGCACAAACTGCAGAAAAATGGCTCTTCCCCTTCTGAGAATAATTTTCATGTTATTTCCCATAATGTTTGCCATGTTTTGGGGTCCCTGCAGGACCAGACAGCCCAGGAAAGACAGCTCCTGACCTTCACACTCGTCACCTATGATGAAGGGTGCAATAGCCCCTTGCCCCCACCCTGTCCCCTTTCCATGCCACTGCGGTCACTGGAGGACCAGTTCATATCACTGAAGGGGTTCCAGCAGTCGCTGGGTTTGCAGAGGGCTCTGCTAAAGCTGCCGAGTCCTGCTGCCACCTGAACTGGTGACATACTAATGCTCACCTTGATGAGAGTGTCCAAAGCTGTCCTGAAGACAGATAGCTCTCCGGGGCCTAAAATTCACTTGTTATGTGATGGATGCATCAGTGGGAAGAGTATTTAATATGAAAACTTACACCCTCAGTGCTCCCACCTAGGTGCAGCCCCCGCAGAAATAAAGACTCTGTCTACCAACGTATCGGACGGCACAACCTTCCCGCAGGGAACAACTCTCGGTCCAAGTTTTCTTGCTGTTTCTTGCCCGTGGAGGAGCTTTGGAGAGGCAGAGCCTCTCCTGCAGGCACTACCTGCTTCAGCCTTGGCTGCTGTGACTGGCTTGCAAGAAGCAGCACCTCTAAACCAGTTTTTGTAGCTTCAAAAGATGGAAAAAACAGAGTCCCGTGAGAGCCGGCCCCCCGCCTGCACGCAGGGGACAGTCTGTGGTGGCGCAGGAGCAGCCGCCGTTCACAGCAAAGGGTGTCCAAAGAGGACTGAGCTCGCCATCAGGGGAACGAAAGGTATTTGTAATGAGACAACGGGCTGGGAAAGGCTGAGAAGGATTAACTCAAACATCTCCACTGATTTGATTTAATTCTGCCCACAGTCCCAGAGCAATAATAAGCTTAAGTTAAATGTTTACATCTGCAAATGTGGCTCATGGAGTGATTTTATCTAATGCTCTCTTATCTGTCAGGCGCTCGCTGCACGAGCTGAGACAAATCCAGATCTTGTAGCACTGATGGAGCTCGTGCCCAGCCTGGGGTGGGCTCCCAGGGCTCGCTTTGTGCCAGGGGAGAGCGGGTGGCCTGGCCTGAGCTGCCTGGTCCTTGCCTGCCCGGTTCTTGCCTAGCCGCAGGCTGGTGCCTGCCAGAGGGGCTGCCACGCTCAGGGTCCCCTCCCAGCGTCGCCATGCCATGGGCGGGCAGCGCTGTGCATCGCTCCCTCGGACTCATGGCTAAATGCAGATGCTACTCACAAAAAAACAAAAACTTGTGCATCCGCATTTCCAGCTGCCAGACGGGGCAGCCCTGACAGTGTTCCGTACCAAACACCGCATTGGGTGGGTTAGCGCTATTAAAAGCAAGTATCTTTTATTTTGGGAATAGATTAATGGCTCATGGTCATTTATGGATTGGCTTTGTTTTGTGTGCAAGGGGTAAGCTTCATGCCACGGGACTGCCTTACAGTTTGTATTGGCTAAACTCCAGCTTCTTGCTTTGCCTGGATCCTGCCAGCAGCTGGATTATATATGACTCTTCTTTCTAGCACCCTTTTTTGCAGGGTTCACTCTTATGCTTTCAGAGAAGAAACGCTGATCTTCTGAAATCACAGCTCCCACTCCCTCCACTGATCGTGCAGCCTCTGAACCTGCAGGTGCTGCTCACCTCTCCATAGGCTTGCTGCAGTTTAAGTCCTAGGACCAATCTCATCAAGGTAGGTAAGTCCCTCCTAGTTTTAATTAGGGGTAATTGGGAGTATCTCAAGTGGCCTGGCAAGCTTCCCTCATCTGCGAAGCTGTCATAGGGACTTCCAGCTGCTCACACTTGAGTGTGACTTTGAAAGCCCTGGTAGACTGGAGGCTGTCACCAAGACAGTCACAGGACAGCTAGTTTCCAAGGGTGGCAGCACATCTGACAGCAGAGAAGTTATAAAGGTAGAAAATGGTGGTCACTGGTTTCTGCTTGGTTTGGGGTCACCATAAAAAGGCAGTTGAGGAATCTGCTTACCTGCCTTATTGCGCACAGCAGCTTCCCGTACGAATAAACAATAATGACAAAAGGGATTACAAGGCAAAAGATGAAAAGACATACGACGTAGGACGCGTTGTTAGCGTCCTTTGAATGCCAGTTCACGGAGCACGTTGTCCCTGGTCCTTCTGGCCCGTAACTGCTCCAGCCGAAAAGAGGGGGTGCAGTCCAGACCAAGGAGTACGTCCAGGACAGGACGATGCCTGTCCATGTTTTCCTGTAGTTTGTGGTATCGGCCTCTGTTGTTCCCGTCATGGTGCAGTAACGTTCGTAAGAAAGTACTGCCAGGGAGATGAGGGAGACGATGCCTGTATCAAAACATACATTTGTATTAGCAGAAATGGCTGGATTAAGGCTTTGATCTAACTCCCAAAGCGATACTTCAAGCTAAAGACGAGGCGGATGGCAGTGGCTTTGGAAACCTGGTGGGCAAGGACTGGGGACTGTCCCCTTAAGAGCGAGAGGTGCTGAGAGCCTGACCTCGCTCACCGAGAGCTGGGGAGTCTTTAAACACGTGTCCAGCCAAAGCAAGTCTGTTATAAATGCTGACTGATAATTAAGCACATCTGTCTGCACGTATACATACGTGTGTGTGTGACCTGCAGCAAAATCCTGGTTTCTCTATCGGATTTGGTGTTGGTGCACCTGTAAGACTTAAGGATTGAAGAGAAATAGCTATATTTGCCCAAAGTTCAGGGCTTATCCAGCTTCACAGCCTGCCTTAAGCATCACTGCTTCTGCCTGAAATGATAACATTGGCTCTTTGCTTCCTGGGATTTATGCTTTCTCCTAGATATCTCTTTTTTCTCCCCTGCAGGAAAGATGTGTGAGGAACAATAAAGGTCCATGCCCATCCTCTGATCTCTTCACACAACCTTCCCTGTCCTTGCCCTCTACCCAGACGTTATGGTCCTCAGGCACTTCTTGGATGTTTTCATACAGCCATATGTGCTGTGCTGGCATTCTCACAACGAAATGCATGTGAGCAAGGGCAGACATTGCAGAGCAACAGAAGTGACTTGACTTTAGAAATTTCAGTTGTTGGAGAGAAAAGATGGTTCTGTGAAAGTGGGAAGGGGGTGTGTGTCACCGGAGGAACCCGCTCAAATAAATCTCCCGGTGAGAGCCCAGAGAGCTTTCCTTGCAGAGCGCCTGTCACTCCCAAGGAAACCACAAAGTCAAAATAAAGATCTGTGTCTCCCAGTGTTAGACCAGAAAAAGCAGAAAGAGCGTAAGGGACGCAAGCGCTTTGTTGCTCGGGTTTGAAACCTAACCTGATTCCAAGGGCAAGAATTGCAGCTCATTAAAGCAATGCTTTTCATATTTAAAGCATGAGGACAACTTTAATAGTCAGCAAAAATCCAAATCCTCTTTACAGGGCAAGGCACCTCTTCTGAGACGCGGAAAATGAGAGATGCCCTCTGTCTCTGCCAGCTCAAAAGTGCAGCAGTCTGAACCCTCCCTCGGGGAAGCGCAGCCCCCCAGGTTTTTCATACGGATTTATTGCTGTGCAGTAACGAAGAAATGTAGATTAAAATAATGTCATGAAGCCCACTGTGCCAGCAAGTGCCCTGGTGTGCCTCAGCACGGCTGTGCAGGGTGCGGGTGGCTCCTGAGCCCTTGCAGAGACATTTATGGGTCTCTTGCAACTGGGGTACTGTCAGCAGATACAAATGGGGCGAGAAAACCCCTTAGCAGCAAATCAAAGATTTCTGCTACATACAGTAATGGGGGGGGGCTTGTAATTTCTAATGCTGACATTAGAGTTTGTGATTTTCCCCCCCACCTCTCAGCCTGCATTTTGGAAGTGATGCCTTGATGATCTTAGAGGTCTTTTCCAACCTTAATGATTCTATGATTCTATGATTCTATGCCGGCAGGTACAACTGGATATAGCTGGAGCGGCTGGTTAATGCTGACATACTCTGTTTCAACTTTCCTTGGCATGTAAAGGTTTTACATACACAAAACTGCCTTGCTACCCTGTATAACTTTATCAGGGAGAGAGGTGGCAGCAAACATCTAAACCGCTGCTGCAAATGTGTCTTTAGAGCGGGTGAGTGGTGTGAATGTCTCTTAAAGTAGCGGTGTGCAGCCTGGATGCAATGCTAAGCTGTTTTCCTCTGGTTGTTCAGGTCTGTCGCTGTTACTCTCTCACTGCTAGCAGAGCGACGACTCTACTGGTAAAGCTTCTGACCTGTACGAGTGCGAGCTGTGGGACAGCCCCACTGATGTGTGTTGGTGTCTGTGCTGTTAAACAGGCTGGGGGAGATTTTCAGCTTGAAAATATGAGATATTGTTAAACTTAGCTCAAAGCGACATTGCTCTAAACTACTGTTTCTATACCTTAGGAAACACAGCAGAGCAGGGAGGGCGATGCAGGGGCAGGTCTGCGTACCTGCTGCCCCACAGCCCCCTTGCCGTCTCCACCGCAGCGTGGGTCTCCCCCCACGTGCCTGGCTCGCAGGCGAGGAAGGGGCTGGGTAAAGGCAGAGGG